GGAAATGAATGTTGTCTGGAGCATGTCAGTGGCAGGACAGAAAGCTCTTACAGAAGATAAAAACCACCTGGGAACTCAGGACGGGCAGCGTGGCAGTATCGAGGGAAGTACGGATCCACGCTTACTCCCTTCTGTCCCACCTCCCCCTTCCAGTCAGACCTCGCCCCACTTCATTGTTTGTTCTAATGTGCTGACATGCACCTTTTTGTTCATGTAATTCCTGAAAACTGCATTGTTTGAGGACGTGTTTTTGATTCATGGTGTTACAACTTGAAACCCAGTGTTGCTTTCACTTTGCGAGTAAACAGAACACAGAGAATATCCACGAGGTCTTGATGAAAAAGACATGGTGTTAATGTACAGTGAGAGAGCTTCACTTGAAGTCTTTGGGGGCAGGAAGCAGGGTGTAACAGTCAAAGCTAGTAACATATCCAGGATTAGTTTAACTGGAAAGGAGGCTGGTAAGTCAGATGTTGTCAGAATATCTTATCATATGTGTGTCATTTTGGATTTTAATTTAATTTTTTTTTTTTTTAACAGTTTTTGGCTGGGGCTGGGTTTGAACTCACCACCTCTGTTATATGGGGCCGGTGCCCTACTCACTGAGCCATAGGCGCCGCTATAATTTAATTTAATTTTTTTGAGACAGAGTCTCAAGCTGTTGCCCTGGGTAGAGTACCATGGCGTCATATATCATAGCAACCTCCAACTCTTGGGATCAAGTGATCCTCTTGTCTCAGTTTTTCTATTTTTAGTAGAGATGGGGGTCTCGCTTTTGCTCAGGCTGGTCTCAAACTCGTGAGCTCAAGCAGTCACTCCCCCTGCCTCAGCCTCCAGAGTGCTAGGATTACAGGCATAAGCCACGGTGCCCGGCCTTACTTTATTCCTTTTTATTTTGGGGGGCAATGATTGAGGGTACGTAGACCCAGGTTATGCTGCTTGCATTTGTTAGGTAAAGTCCCTCTTATAATTATGTTCTGCCCTACCATTTTACATTTTATACCAGAAATTAAAGTTGGTTAAAGAAATTTATTTCTACACTAATCTTTTGATCACTCTGAAACAGGTATCTTCAGTCAACTGAAGATTTTCATAGGCTGAGTCCATCCATTTCCTTTTCTTTTCTTTTTTTTTAGAGACAGAGTTTCAGTTGGTCACCCTGGGTAGAGTGCTGTGGTATCATTACGGCTCACAGGAATTCCCAAACTCTTGGGCTCACGTGATCCTTTTGCCTCAGCCTCCCAAGTGGCTGGGACTACAGGTGCCCACCACTATGCCAGGCTAGTTTTTTTATTTTTAGTAGAGATGGGGGTCTCATTCTTTCTCAGACTGGTCTCCAACTCCTGAGCTCAAGCCATCTGCCCATCTCAGCCTCCCAGAGTGCTGGGATCATAGGTGTAAGCCACGGGTGCACACCTGGCCTCAACTGCATTTCTTTCTTTCTTTCTTTTTTTTTTTTAGCAGTTTTTTGCCAGGGGCTGGGTTTGAACCCGCCACCTTGGGCATATGGGCCGGGGCCCTACTCCTTTGAGCCACAGGCACCACCTCAACTGCATTTCTTAGAGGAATCAAATCACTCCATGGCGGGCTTTGTAAACTATTATAATATTTAGTTCCTTCCTAAATTATTAGGAGTCTATTACTTTTTGGTTAGATTTGTACTCGTCACGCAGCTTGACAGAGTGTTTACTGGTTTAATGGATAAACATAATGGACTTGCCATATCCACACACTTTTAAATGAATTATTTGGGATTTAACCATATTGGATTTGCGTGGTTTAAGACACGTAATTGGAGCCATGTGCCCTTTTAAGCCCCAACTTACTTTATCATGAGGCTTTGACCATCTATACCTTCGCCATCCTCTATATCGTATTTGCTTGTCAAGAAAAGGGAAATCTCAGTCTTTGAGAGTTGACTTAGTGTGTTTTCCTTGTCAGGGTCATTGTCGTCAACTGCTCCTTCCCCTGTAGAAAAAACACAGCTGTGTTATTCTTCCAATTCACTCGGTGTGATGATGGCACCTTTGAGGCTGTAATATAAACGTTCTGTGGGAAAGTTAGGCTCAGTAATCAGGCAGCAGATCATGGTCTTCACAAAACCCATATTCTCCTCTAGCTGAAGTGGCCTTTTAAATACTTGACTGAAACATTAAAACAACATGGGACATAGACCTTCCAAATGTGAATAAATTACTAAAAGGTAGAACTGTTAATAAAAGAAATCCTTAGAAAACACATTCAGGAATTTTTAATTTTCTAGTAAATTTCGTTCTTTAATGAGATTCTCTTTCTTCATGATCCAGGTTGACAAATCCTTTTGGATATATCTGGAGCTTACCTTCGAGACTATCAAATCACGTTACAATTTAGGACACTATCAATTACAGAATTCTTACTATAGGAAGGAACAACTGTAGTTATTATCCTTTAAATAAGTGTGAGTATCAAATTCCAAAAATTTATATATATTTTTTATCTAGAATATAAAAACCAACCAACCAAAACAACTAAACAAAAACAAGTGGAAGGAATAAGGTCTTACCAAGGAAAGATTCCACGGTAGGTACTTCTCCCAGCGACCCCAACAACTCGCTCAGTAAGTCATTTTTTTCAGAGACAATTGCATCCTGGTGTTCCAACAGGAGCTGTATGTGGAAGCAACACACACGAAGGTAAAAGGAAATTCTCAACTGCTACCATATTTACGTACAGTAGAACCTCCATAGCTGACCACCTGCCTGCACTGGCCACCTCCTTAAGGTCACCTAATTTTCCTAGATCAGACACGCACCACATGTCCCTATCAGTACAGTTTTATGCTGACCAGCTCTCTAGGTCCACCAGCTCCTTACAGTTCCTTGAGTGGTCAACTTACAGAGGTTTTACTGTTCGTTATCATTCTTTTTGTGGTAACTTACTCCTAATGCCCTTTAAATCTTAAATATAAGTCTGATGTTTATTACAATTAGAGATAATTGAAGAGGTTTCTTTTTTTTTTTTGAGACAGAGCCTCAAGCTATCGCCCTGGGTAGAGTGCCGTGGCATCACAGCTCACAGCAACCTCCAACTCCTGGGCTTAAGCGATTCTCTTGCCTCAGCCTCCAGAGTAGCTGGGACTACAGGTGCCTGCCACAATGCTCAGCTATTTTTTGGTTGTAGTTGTCATTGTTTGGCAGGCCCAGGCTGGATTCGAACTCGCCAGCTCTGGTGTATGTGGCTGGTGCCTTAGCCACTTGAGCTACAGGCGCTGAGCCTGAAGAGGGTTTTTATTTTATCTCAGGAGGGAGATAAATTTCTCTACATCAGAAAATTACAGCAAGAAAGGAATTCATAGCCTTTTCCCAGCAAGACTTTGCAAGATCTGCGGAGGGGCAGCCTTCTATCACCCGACCTCTGTGTCCCACTCCACCTTTATCAAAAAAGTCAAAGTTGCTCCTGCTTTGTTTTTATTGCTGAGTAATGTCTTGGCTAGTCAAGGTTTTTTCTGATTCCATATAAAACTAAGTATTACTTTTTCAAGATCTTTAAACCATGACAATGGAACTTTAATAGGGATTACATTAAAATTATATATTACTTTGGGTAGTATGGACATTTTAACAATGTTAATTCTTCCCAGCCATGAGCATGGTATGTTTTTCCATTTGTTAACATTTTCAGCTATTTCTCTTCTTAGAGTTTCCTAGTTCTCTTTACAGAGGCCTTTCACGTCCTTTGCTAGGCGAACTCCCAGATATTTCATCTTCTTTGGCACTACTGTAAACGGAATAGAGTTCTTGACTATTTTTTCAGTTTGACTGCTGTAAGCACAGTAAGTAAAGCAAGTAGACAGTCCTCAGAATGGGAGATGATATTTGCTGGTTATGTCTCTGACAAAGGTTTAATAACCAGAATCCACAGAGAACTCAAATGTATAGCAAGAAGAGAACAAGTGATCCCCTCTCAGGGTGGGCAAGGGACTTGAAGAGAAACTTCTCTGAAGAAGACGGGTGTATGGCCTACAAATATATGAAAAAAATGCTCACCACCCTTAATCATCAGAGAAATGCAAATCAAAACTACTTTGAGATATCATCTAACACCAGTAAGATCAGCCCATATCACAAAATCCCAAAATCACAGATACTGGTGTGGTTGTAGAGAAAAGGGAACACTTCTACGCCACTGGTAGGATTGCAAACTAATACGTTCCTTTTGGAAAGACATCTGGAGAACACTTAGAGAACTAAAAATAGACTTGCCATTTGATCCTATAATTCCTTTATTAAGTATATATCCAGAAGACCAAAAATCACACTATAATAAAGATATTTGTATCAGAATGTTCATTGCAGCCCAATTCATAATTGCTAGGTCATGGAAGAAGCCCAAGAGCCCATTGATCCATGAATGGATCAATAAATTGTGGTATATGTACACCATGGAATACTATGCAGCCATTAAGAAAGATGGAGACTACCTCCTTCATGTTTACATGGATAGAGCTGGAAAATACTCTTCTTAGCAAAGTATCCCAAGAATGGAAAAAAAAAGTATCCAATGTACTCAGCCCTACTATGAAACTAATTTATAGCTTTCATAGGAAAGCTATAACTCAATTTTAGCCCAGGAATATGGAGTGAAGGGAGAGGGAGGGCCGAGGGGAGGGGGGAGGGAGGTGGATGGAGAGAGGGTGATTGGTGGGATCACGCCTATGGTTCATCCTATAAGGGTACATGTGAATCTCTCTAAATGTAGAGTGTAAATGTCTTAACACAATAACTAAGAAAAAGACATGAAGGCTATGTTAACCAGTTGGATGAAGGTATTTCAAATTGCATACAGAAACAGTACACTGTACCCCATAATAGTATTAATGTACACTGCTATGATTTAATACAAGATAATTAAAATAATCTACCAAATAAATATAAAATAATTAAAAAAAAAGTCAAAGTTGGCAGCTCCCATAGCTCAGTGTGTAGGGCACTGGCCACATACACCGAGGTTGGAGGGTTCGAACCCAGCACAGGCCAGCTAAAACAATAATAACAACTACAACAACAAAAAATCGCTGTGCATTGTGGTGGGGAACCTATAGTCCCAGCTACTTGGGAGCCTGAGGGAAGAGAATCACGTAAGCCATGATTGAGGTAGCCATGAGCTGTGATGCTACAGCACTCTACTGAGGGCAACAGCTTGAGACTCTGTCTCAAAAAAAAAAAAAAGTCAAAGTTGGGGGGAATGAATCTAGAACAAGGCAGAGGTATCTCAGCTTACACTGGTAGCAAAATGGAAGTGTATTTCCATGCCCCTCCAGAGCAAAGTAGGCCTGGAAATGCACTTCTGTGGTTAGGTGTGGTAATAAGCACACTCCAGTCATTTAAAACCACCACCACTCGCTATTTTAATCTGTCCTGAAGTTCTTTCATGGATAAGGACAGTAAAAACGGCTGTGGTTCCCTCTTTCAGGACCCTAAAAAGGCTCAAAGATGAGTAACAACTGCTGGGGTATCTCTCTGGGTCTGACGTAGAGGGACCATGATTGACTCTTACAGAACAGCAGCATTGGAGGGGAAAATCATGGAGGGTAACACATCTGGTTTTGTTTGCATCTATAATTAAATTAAAACAATGTTTCCAAAGTATGGGGCTGGTTTCCCTGGTGATAGGAGATTTAATTTTAGTTGTTTTGAACAACTACATTAATCATAAAGTAGTCTGTTTCCCATCTTTTTTCCAACAGCTTTCTAATTCACATACAATAAAGTCCACTCATTTAAAATATACAGGGTAGGTTTTGGTATATTGAGAGCTGTGCAGCCATCACCACCGTCTATCTAACTTTGGAACATCTCACTAAACTAAAAGGAACCCTCTGCTCAATTAGCAGTCATTCCCCATTACCATGCCTTCTTACCCCGGGAAATCACGAATCACTTTCTGTCACTGAATTTGACAGCATTGAGGACTTTATATAAATGGAATCACCCAGGATTTGTCTTTTTGTGACTGGCTCCTTTCAGCTGGCATGATGCCCTCAAAGTTTACCCATGTTCTGGCATGGATCAGAATTTCCTTCCTTTTTAAAGCTGATTAAATGTCTATATCCCACTTTCTCCATTCATCTCTTGATGACACTGAACTATTACGAATGATGCTGCTATGAAGATGGATGTACAAATACCTCCTCAGCTCTGCTTTCAATGCTTTTGGGTATACATTCAGAATCACCTGGTAATTCTCATTTTTTTAAAAACCGACATGCAGTTTTCCCTGGCAGTTACTCCATTTTACATTCCCACCAACAGTGTACAAGGGCTCCACTTTCTTCACATTCTTGTTAACACTTTTTTTTTTTTGCAGTGTTTGGCCGGGGCTGGGTTTGAACCCGCCACCTCCGGCATATGGGGCCAGCGCCCTATCCTTTTGAGCCACAGGCACCGCCCTCTTGTTAACACTTTTAAATATATATATTTGTCATCCTAATAGATGCGAGGCAGCATCCATTGTGATCGTGATCTTGACTTCCCCAAGTCTTAGTGATGCTGAACATTTGTTTATGTGCTTTCTGACTGTGTGTACATCTTTGTAGAAATGTCTATTTACGTTCTTTGCTTTGTTTTCAATTGGGTTGTTTTGTTATTGAATTGTAGCAGTTTTTTATGTAGCCGAGATGATAATAAGCCTTTTACCAGACATGATTTACCAATATTTTCTCCCATTTCATAGGCTGCCTTTTCACTAAGTTGAGGGTATCCTTTGATGTATAGTTGCTTTTTAAAATTGGATTATTTCTTTTTAACATTAAGTTGTAGGATTTCTTTGTATATTCTGGATGTAAGCCCCTTAGATAGATTATTTATAATTATTTTGTCTCATTCTCACAGTTGTCTTCTCAATTTCTGATGATACTTACTATTTACAGCACAGAAGTTTTCAATTTTGATGAAGGCCAATTGATTTATCTCTTTTGCTACTTGTGCTCTGGTGTTAAATCTAAGAAACGATGGCCTCATCCAGGGTCACAAAGATTTACTCCTGTGCTTTATTCCAAGAGTTTTATAGTTTTAGCTCTTACATTTAGGTCTACGATCTATTTGTAGTTCATTTTCTTATGGGGGTGGGGGAGAGAGGGGCCTACTTTCTCGGTTTGGCATGTGGATTTCCAGGTATCCCTGCACCATTTGTTGAAAAGACTATTTTCCCATTGAGCTGTTTTAGCCTCTGGTTGAAATCAAATTGACCATAAATTTAAGAGTTTATTTCTAGACTCTCAATTCCAATCCATGGATCAATGCTTATCCTTATGGCAGCATAGGACTGCTTTGATTACTGCCTTTTCTGTTCCTTTTTATCCTTTAGATTAGTTAAAAGGGAAAGTGTCTGTTTAATGCTAAATTTTCTGAACACTGACTACTTTCCTGACACTTAATAATTGGGTTTGTAACAAAGACAGAGCACATCTTCCATACATAGTTTCAGGGCAGGGAAGGGACTAGATTCAACTATTTTGTTTTTATTATACTCACTTTCTTCTAAACTTTTTGTTTATTGCAAGGTGTGATAGTTTTTCACTATAAAAGAGGTACTTTGTTTTAAAGCCAAGAAAAATATGCAGGTTTTTTTTTTTTTTTTTTTTTCAAAAAACAGAGCCTCATTTTATCATCCTCGGTAGAGTGCCATGGTGTCACAGCTCACAGCAATCTCCAACTCCTGGGTTTAGTTGATTCTCTTGCCTCAGCCTCCTGAGTAGCTGGGACTACAGGTGCCCGCCACAATGCCCGGCTATTTTGTTGTTGTAGTTTGGCCCATTATTTTCAGGAAGGAAAGTTGATTCAAAGAAAGACATTAAATGATAGGGGTGATATCTGGTGAAATCTGGAAAGGAGGTTCACAAAGTATTACTGGGGGAAAATAAATCAGAGAAAAGAACAACGTAAGTAAGAGGAATTACTATGTCTCTACTATGCTCTTGTTCTCTGAAGATAGGACAGCTGAGTTGACTAGCTTTGGAAATAGATGATTTAGGCGGCCAGCTTTTACCCTTCATTCTGATAATTATAGAACATAAAAAAAATTCTGAAAAGGCTCCTTAAAAAGGAGTTGAAGTTGTACGTATTTCTTAGAGAGGGAGAGGCAAGTGTGTGGCCACAGGCGTAGTGAGTCAGCTACTGCTGTGCTTACGTCTGCACGTGGATGCCGCCTCCGCAAACAGACAGACGGTAAATGGGACAGTTCTTCCCTGTAATTACCCAATTTCCCTTCCTTACATCTGTTTCCAGCCTAACACACAAAGGAATTCCAAATCGGTCACAAGCTGTTTCCCAGGACTAGATTCTGTTTGCAATTCTTGTTAACAAAAGGAGTAGACTGTTTCTCCTTAAAAGATGAGTAGTCTAAATTAATACAGTAACATTCTTCCTCTATGCTACCCTTGGGAAGGAATCTCTAAAATACGAACTCTTCACCACTTTTTTTGGCATGTAGATATTACCTTCAGTAAATGTGCAGGCAAGATGTGCATTTTTTTTAGAGGGATCGTGTACCATAAAAACAGAGAAATGGGTCATTGCTTGAGTGTGAATCAGACTATTTATACTATTGACAGTAATAATAGAACACTGCTGAACACCATCATGGATTTGGGGTGTTTATATATAGAGAAAAGAAAGTTAGCCTATTCATTTAGTCAATACTTGAGAGCTTTGTTGCAAATGTCAGAGAAGTTCCCTGCTCCAGCCCTAACAGAGGGAAATCAAGACCAGCTCCAATCTTTCCTTCAAGCCCACATTCAGGCTTTAGTTTCTTAGAAGAGCTTCATAATAAAGACTGAAATTTTAGAAAAAGAAAAAAAAGACTGAAATTGTAAGCAGCCAATTTGCTTGCTACTTGCTGGTATAATATCTGGTCTGATGGGGGCAGGAACGTGACCTTCGAAGGCTGTGTACTCAGGTTTCCCCCTAGTTGTCTGTATAATCCCAAGTTGGAACATGCTGCACTGAAGTCTCTAGAATGCTAATGTGCACCTGTGTCCCCTGTGATCTTGTTAGGATGCAGGTTCTAATTTGCGAGGTCTGTGGTGCATTTGTAACACATCCCTGGGATCTTGCTTTGGCAAGTAAGGTCTGAAATGTTCTTGAACAGATTACCTTTTAAAAACAGATTAAAAAAAAAAAAAACCAACAAAACCCAGACTTTTCAGAAAACCAGTTCCAGTTGGTCTTTTAAAAAACAAAAACAAAACCCCAACCCCTCAATGCTCAGCTTCTCTTTTTACTTTAAATGATTGAAAGGCCATCCATCTCAGGCTTCCCAGCTGACTGCCAGCACAGCGCCCTGCCCCCAACAGGCATATTTAACACATGCTAATTGTGGCTGGTGTTTACATGGGAACCACAAGAAGAAGTCACACAGCACAGGATGGGAAATTGCCTGTTTCCGAGAAATGGGGGCTTCCAGAACAATGGAGCTGATTCTTTGCAGGAGGCTGCTGTGGGCAGGTAGTTTCTTATCTTCCTTGAGCCGCCTGTTTATGACCTCTCTATGTGCAAACAGAATAGAGAGAATAGTCTCTTTTTCCCAGAAAATCACAGGAAAATCTGATAGGATTCCTAAAAGAAGGGAGTGACAGCGTGTAGGTTACAGCATGGCTTTGGTGGCCAGGAGAACACCAGGGCCTGCCCCTGCTCAGGTCATAACCTCCGTATTTACCATCTGGCTTTGTACATGGAGCATGTCAAAAGTAAACCTTCTTGTCTGGGAGAATGTGTTTTATTAATGTATAAGAGCCGGGAAATAAATAATCAACGCGTTTTTAGGGTTAAGAATATGAGTATGAGCACCTGGGTAGTTTTGCAGAGACTACACATTTTCTTTTCTTTTCTTTTTTTTGAGACAGAGCCTCAAGCTGCCCCCTGGGTAGAGTGCCATGGCTTCACTGCTCACAGCAACCTCCAACTCCTGGGCTCAAGCGAGTCTCCTGCCTC